GTGAGAGAAAGTGAGGTCTGGGACTCCAACCACTGTTGGCCTTGTGGGAGTCCAGTGCTCTTCACCACCATGTCACCTGCCGGTCTGGTGAGAGACTTTTAACAGGGTCTTACCTTGTCGGCATCCCCCTGCCCCAGCCTCCCAGCCAACCAGAACCATAGGCTTGGGCTGGGAACTGAACCTAGGCCTCCCGTGCAGCTCAGCCTCTGAGCAGCACTGGCTTAGCAGCATGCTTGCCACCATAGCTGAGCCAGCTTTGGGGTTTTTAAAAGCATGGTGAGGGAGGAATCATTAGGTGGCACAGACGTTAAGGCAGCTGGATTCCACATGGCTAACTGTGCAATTCGAATCCTGGACCAGGCGGCTTGAAAAACATGTCAGGCACATGTGTGTTTGTGCCCAAAATCTCAAGAGGAGAGTACAGAAGGGATTGTGGCGTGGTCATCCCTCCTGGAGGAAGGTAACTTCTCACCCCTCGTCCCCCAAGCACATGTGCCCTGTAGCAAACTTAAAAAGGCATGATGGGAAGTCACTGAAGGTAGGGAGTTTGTAGTGATGAGATTTGAATGCCCTTTAGGAAGGATCACTCTGACTGTTAATGTTAAGTTAGATGGGGAGGGAAGCATAAGGACAGCAGTTAGGTGGCCACTGCAACAATCCAATTGTCACATAAATAATTTCAAGTAGGAGTACATAAAGAATGATCTCCCTGACCAAGTTCTTGCAATTCCGTACCCATGGCCTATCAAAAAAAAAAAAATAGCCGAGTACAGAAATTCAGCACAAGACGAGTATAGCATATGCCCTGGTTGCTGTGGTTATAGGAGTCACTGCCTCGGGCATAACAATTGGTTGTTTTACCTGAATATAGGAGCGCTCTTAATGGGTTTTCCCACATTACTCTCTTTTGGTCAGTGCTTTTTTTAGATAAAAAGTTGGATACAATTGCAGCTCTGTCTCTTCCCTGAGCACTTCCCGTGATGAGAGGCGCCTTTCATTCCCCATTACATTCTTCAATGCCAGTCAGGAGGCCTGAGGCTGGCAGTGCTCCATTGCCTTTACCAGGGCTGGGCCTTCATCTTCTAGGTCACACTGCTTTGTTATTTATAACTTCCCAGTAAATGCAAAATGTTTCACTAAAATAGATATGTGGATATCTCTCAGATACTTACTGGAAGTACCTAGAGAATAAAAGACACCTTCATGCTTTTAGAAGAGCCCC